TCGCTACTACGAAGAAGAACGCTACTAGGGGCTCCTGGCATCGCTACTAGGAGCAAAGGACGCTACTAGGGGCTCCTGGCATCGCTACTAGGAACAAGAACGCTACTAGGGGCTCCTGGCCATACTACTAGGAGCAAGGACGATACTAAGGTTTTTGCCAAGGCACGGAGCGTTTATCTGTCTCTCCCATCATGCCCAAGAGCTTCCGGAAGGCGACCTTCGCTGCCCCCCTCTGCGCGTTGAAGCTCCTCGGCCTGGCCAGGTCAGACTCCTTTTTTACACACTCGGATAGCCATGGCCTCCAACCTACTCTGAAGGGCGGTAGTCCGCTTGGATGGTCGGTGTTCATCCCTTTGGTCCCGTTCTAAACGCAACTCACTCCTTAAAAGCATTCGAAGCATTTTTAAGTACGCTTGCTAGTAGGAAAGGAAGAACGCATCGCTGGCAAGAAGGTAACGGAAAATAGAGGGGACATGAAAGGACTAAAGCTCCAATGAACAATAACTAGACACAGAAAGAAACATATACTGATGGAAAGGCATAGTCAAGGCCAAGACTCAAGCGACTCAAGGCCATTGACGCACTGAGTGAAAGAGGTGACAAGGCCCTCAACACCGCATCTTCATGTAACCTTCATTGCATTTCACTCACCACTGACATCAACAGTCAACTGGTCACACCAGTGCCTCAGCGGCCTTGCGGTCGGCATCATCTTTCTTGTACTTGGCCCTGAGACATGACGATCAAAGGTTCATCTCGGTGTGCTCGTAATATTTCAGCACAACTACACTGAACGAAAAACTGACTCATGTTTTCTACCCACCGCCTGCACTTCATGCAGAGAAAATCACGAACTCCCCTAGAAATGGCTGCTCCAATCTACAAGTCAATTAAAAAAGAAAGTAAAATATATATGTATACGCATCTTTTCTTCAGTCTGAACTATACGCAACTAGGAGCAAAGGACGCTACTAGGGACTCCTGGCCTTGCTACTAGTAACAAGAACGCTACTAGGAGCTTTTTCTTCATTTCTTCCAAATTTGCACACGGAGCTCGTCATGCCTCATGAGCAGCTGGTAGTACTGCTCCGCCCGCTTCAGCCGGTTCCCGTCGGCATCCATGCCCCGCGCCAAGTCCTTGAAGTTCCGGCGGTTTCCTCGGGGAAACGACCGTTCAAAGCCGCAGGTGGCACAGTCGTAAATTTAATTCTAATAGCTTTTTGTTACTACTAGTAAGGCACCTGTTACTACTAGCGTGGCACTTGTTCCTACTTCGTTTTTTCCATCTGTTAGAAGTTAGATTATGCTGAATAGTTGAATGTGTGCTTTCTTTTGGCGTGCTGTGTGAATGTGTGACAAAGCTATCAGGGTTTTCACTCAGGTGTCATGCCCGGCATGCCCCGCTGTTTCGAGGAAAACGAAGCATGCAGCTCAAGTTGCTAAAGTCGGAGCCGGTCATCGACTGTGAGTCTGCCAGGCCTGAACATTGCATCACATGCGTGGGAAGAGGGCCGATTGTCAGGTGGTTGGGTGGTATACCTCTCTTGAAATCACATCG